GTATTCGAGGTCTGGTGGATAGCCTGTGCCAAAGTACGGTTACGTGGAATGGTGTGTTGTGTGTGAGAAACAGCAATATGGCCGGTTTGGCTGGATTGTAGACTGTGTGAAAAGGGCTAATGGTGGCAGGTAATAGCACTTCTCACCCTGCCCTGCCTTTGATGACAACTGGCCCTATCTAGCCAGCCTAACCCTCTAGCTCTCTTCCTGTCACCTGACCCATATTCCATTGCCCTTTCACTCACTTCACTGATCATATCTTTGACTTCCTATCCTTCCCTGGCTGCCACTTGAGGCAGCCTTCCTTGAGGGTGGGCACTGACTGTCTTGCTTTTTGTATTTGTATTTTATGTTTGATACTTAGTAAGTGCTTAATGCTTTCTCATTCAATCAGCTAGAAAGAAAGATTACAGCCAGACTACAGAGGATATTAAATGTCTAACAGAGGAGTTTATATCTTGTCTCAGAGGTCATAGGAAGCCACTGTAGTTTATAAAGGAGGGAAAGTAACTTGGTCAGCTTTGTGCTTTAGGAAGCTTGGCAAGGGGCAGCTAGGTGGCACAGTGGATAGAGCACTGGCCCTAAAGTCAGGAGGACCTGAGTTCAAATCTGGCCTCAGACCAAACACTTGACACTTCCTATCTGTATGACCCTGGGCAAGTCACTTAACCCCAACTGCCTAAAAAAAAAAAAAAAAAGGAAAATTGGCACCCACTTTGGCTGGGTGCAGTGGTGCAATTCATAAACCTTGCTATGGAGGAGGCTCAGGCTAGTGGATCTCTTGAGTGCAGGAGTTCTGAGCAGCAATGGGCTAATCCATTTGTGTGTCCACACTATATTGGGTATTAAAATGGTAAGCCTATGAGTACCAGGTTGTCTAAGAAGGGACAACCAAAACCAGATTCCTTCTATGGAAAGAGGAGCAGGTCAAAGCTTCCATGACAACCTGAGTAGTCCCTGTACTTCCAACCAGAGTAACATAGGGAGATCTAATCTTTAAATGAAATAATAAATGAATATCACTTTGACAGCTGTATGGAAGATAGATCAGGCAGGTAAATTTAATGGACTTTGATAACTGTCTATGGTGTGTATTGAGCGTTGACTCTATGTAGACCCTGTGCTCCATGTTAGACTCGGAAAAAAAAACCCCACAGACTTTACTGGTAAAGATGGCACCCACTCTACTCACCTCCCATTACTTTTTTGCCTTTCTTTGCATCACTAACACAGTAGCATAGCACATGCTTAATAAATACTTGTTGACTGATTGATTTCTCTAGCACTAAGCCCTGCCTTCCCAATAACCCCAGGAAAGGGCTGTGTGTCATTGTTCCCAATTCCGAGTCAGGAGAGACTTGGGTTCGGCCTTGGTCTCTGACACTTACAAGCTGAGTGATCCCTGTCACCAGGCCTCAGAACCCAGGCCCTAGTTCCTGATGAAGTCAATCCACTTAGCTCTGGCATTGCCATGATTGGGGAGACTGAGTTAATGCAAACTTATTCCATGCTCTGACCCCTCCTTCCCATCTCACTGGCCACAGACCATGCTTCATGTTCCATTGGACCATCTAGGAATGACTATCCTCCCTAGGTCATCTTGCCATGCCAGTCCTTGATTTATCATCTATGTGCCTTCCTCATAAGAGTAATCAGCTAATAAACATTTATTAAGTGCCTACTATGTGTCAGGCACTGTGCTAAGTGCTGGGGATACAAAAAAAAGGCAAAAGATGGTCTCTGCCCTCAAGGAGCCCATAGTTTAATGTGAATTACATGTAATCTCAAGCATTCACGGGTAAGGAGTACAAGGATCATTCCCATTTGACAGATGAGAAAACTAAGAAGGAAGGAGGCAACTTAGTCAACAAATCATTAAGCATTTATTAAATGCTAATGATGAACCAGGCACTGTATGCTAAGTGCTAATGCAAAGACAGTCCCCACCCTCCACTACAGGTAGTCCCTGCTTTATATTCTAATGGAGGAAGACAACATATAAAAGGAAGTGGAAAAACAGGGATATTGATGGGGAGGGAGGGCATCCGCATGGAGGCATGGAGGAGAAAGATGTCTGGGAGTCAGGTGTGGGGCCCAGAGAAGAATGAAGGACAACCACTGCAGGCCTTATAGCCTTCCTTAAAATAGAGTTTCCAGGAGGAAACAACCAATCAGAGGAAGGGGCTACAGGGGTAGAGGGATCTTCCAGGGTGAGAAGATTGTCGGACTGTGGGGGCATAGCATAACAGAAGCCCTGGCTAAGCCACTGATTCTCTTAGCCTCAGTTTTTTCATCTGTAACATGGCAGGCTCAGATTAGATGACCTTTAAGGGCATCTTTGGGCTTTAAATCCTACCTAGGCAGTATGATGTCACAGAATGGGTACTAGGCCTGGAGTCTGGAAGATATGGGCTCAAATCCAACCACCTACTCTTACTAGGTGTCAAATCCCTTCACTTCACTATAGTGTCTTCATCTATTTAGCTGGGTTAATACCATTTGATAGCATTGTTGTGAGGCCAAAATGAAACAATGAATGTAAAGCATTCCGTAATACAAACCTCGATGGGTAAATATCCTTCTATCTATCCAAATCTAGCCCTTCGTCTATGCCTGAGCCCCCAGGGCAGATCAGGGAATAAAAGGAGATCTCTGAACAGGGAGACTTAGGAGGCCGGATCTGGAGGTCCCTCCTTTTAGGTCTAGACTTCTTCCAAAAGGGTCAACTAGGTGGTGCAGTGGATAGAGCACCAGCCCTGGATTCAGGAGGACCTGAGTTCAAATCCAGCCTCGGACACATAACACTTACTAGTTGTGTGACCCTGGGCAAGCCACTTAACCCCATTGCCCCCCAAAAAACAAAAAAAAAAACAAACAAAAAAACTGAGAATAGACTTCTCCCATGGTGTCTCTGCTACTGGCTTCTGTAGAGGCAGCAGGGATATTCTTCCGGAATCTAGACCCAGCCAACCTCCATCTTAGGATAGGATAGGAAGAGGGGAAGCTGTCTCTGCCACCTCTAACCACCTGCTGTGATCCAAGACCTCTGCTCCTTTCTTTAAAGCCAGGTATATCAACCTGCCTTATCTCCTTGGGGGAGACCCAGAGAATCACAAACTATCAGAGTTAGGAAAAACTTTAGGAATCAGAGTATTCATCCTTCTCCACCCCCCCCGCCACACTTTTCAAATGGGGAAACTGAGGCCCAAAAGAGGAGAAAGGACTTGTCCAGGGTCACATAGAGAATTAATAGTTGGGCCAAGAATTGAACCTAGATATGAGGACTTCAGACCCAAGTTCATAATGCTGGGTTTCTTCTAGTTTCCCTCCTTGGCAGGTTCCTTTCCTCCCCATAGCCTGCTTTGTCCACTTGGGTTGAAGAATTAGGAGCACCAGGGGGTGGAGGTACAGAGGTAGGGAGAGATACCTCAGGTTGTTTGCCAGTATGGAGGGCAGGCTCTTTCCTGTGTCCGGAAGTTCTAGATCATTCTAATCTGTTCTATTTTAGTCTAATTTATTTTATTCTACCCTTCTCTTTAATCTATTCTCTTCTAGTCAACTAGCATTTATTAAATGCCTACCAAGTACAATACTGTGTGCTAGGGATGCAAAGGCAGAAATGAAGAGCAAATTCCTGTCCTCCCAAATTACCTTTCCTTGGGGGGCACATGTAAACAAAAGTCACAAAGCAGTTAGGGGCAGGGGAGAGGGAGAGAGGAAAGGAGAGGGAAGAAGGGGAAAAGGGAGGGAGAGAGGGAAAATTAACAGATGGAAAAAGCCTCATAGGGGAAGGAGGTGGCATCTGAGCTAAACCCAGGCCCCAACCAAACCAGGGACTTGGATGGTGCAGAGTACTCAGCACCCTGTTGGGTTCCGGTTCCAAAGCCTTTAGGATGTAGCAGTTTTGTTCCAGTGTTGGCACTAATTAATGCGAGTGCAAGGTGGTAGGAAGGATTTAAACTCAGGTCCTAGGAGGAGATCTTTGATTTGCACCAAGTTCTGAGAAAGGCCCAGGAGCTGGCAGGCCCTCCCCTTCAACACATCAGAAGATGCCAGGAATTCTTGCTCCTCCCATCCCCACCTCCAACCCCAGCAGGCTGATTCTGGCTGCCAAGGCCCATCCCCAGGGCCCCAGAGCCTGGGAAAGAAGTTGGAAGCCATTGGAAGGTCCCCGAATGGGGCTTTTCCTGAATCTCTTATCAGGGAAGGTCTCCAGTAAAACCAAGCTTGGCCTCTCAGCCATTCAAACAGGGTCCAGGCCCTCTTCCTTCCCTCTAGTTCCTACCCTTGTTCAAGGATTCATCGTAGGAAAAGAAGGGAAAAAGGAGCGTCTGGGAAGGGGGGTGTTGGCAGCGGGGAGATGGGAACTGGGCCAGAGAGAGTCAGGGAGATGAAGGCGGGGTGTGTATGAAGTCTGGCAGGCTACCCAGACAGCTCGTGTGTTCTGGGGGAGGGGGAGAGGAGAGGGGGTTGTGATCAGTGATGTCACAATGAGGGGCCAGAAGGATTCTAGAATCATTGACCTCCCCCAGCAGACAGGGTCCCCAAGGGGTAGGGGGAGAGACTGAGAATTACGGGGGCAGGAGCAGGCGGCCAGTGGGTGCAAAGGAGGGCATCCAGAAGATGAGATGCTCCCTCCCCTGAGTCCCCAGAGGTTAGTGACTCTTGTGTGAGGCTGCTCACTCTCTCTTGCCTCCAGGCTTTGCTCCATCTTCCTGGGAGGCCCCCCTCTCCTAAGGTCCCCTGTCCCTGTTATGGCCCCCAGACACTGTGGCCCCATTGAAATCTAGCTGACTAAGGCTCCTGCCAATGAACAGGGGATGTAAGCATCTCTCCAGAACTCTAGTCATCCACTGACAAGAACCTGGGCCCCCACTCAAGGCCCACCACTCCACACAGGAGCACTAAGTGTGAGGCAGCAAGAGGAGAGTGGGACCCCATCCATCCCCCTGGCCGGGCCCTGCTGGGGTGGAACCCCTCCACGACACAACCCCTCAGCCATGGGGGTAGTGGGGACATGGGGTACGGCCTTCCATTTCCCAAGGCCTGTGGCATTTCTTTTTCTGTTATTGGAGCTGCCAGCCGGCAAGGCCCTGGTCCGGGCAGTGGCCAATGACAGTGCCAGCACTGTGGACTTCAGCGACGCACCTGCCCTGTTCGGGGCTCCCCTGTCTGAGGATGGTGTTCGAGGCTATTTGATTGAGGCCCGGCCACCCAATGCCTGCCAGCCCATTGAGGGTCCTATGATATCCAACCACTCCCTTGGCTCCATTGCTCTGATTCGCCGCTTCGATTGCACCTTTGACCTCAAGGTCCTCCACGCACAGCAGGCTGGCTACCAGGCAGTCATTGTGCACAATGTCCACTCCAATGACCTGGTCCACATGGTGCACGTCTATGACGACATCCGGCAGCAGATTGAGATCCCATCGGTCTTTGTCAGTGAGGCCACGTCCAAGGACCTCCGGGTCATCTTGTGTGAAAACAAAGATGCTCACGTCCTCCTCTTACCCAACCATCATCACTACTCTGAGCTCGACTGCCACCCCGTCCTGTCTATCTCTTGGGTGCTGGGCCGCACGGTGACCCTGCTGATGTCCACGCTGCTCATTATCAGGAGGGTCTGGCTATACTGGTGCCGCTGGCGGGAGCGGGGCCCTGTGGCCAACCCCCCCAGCCAGAAGAAGACGCATGCGCGTGCCTTCACCCGCCAAAACGACGTCTGTGCCATCTGCTTGGATGAGTATGAGGAAGGGGATCAGCTGATGATCCTCTCCTGTGCTCACATCTACCACAAAAAATGCATCGACCCGTGGTTCTCCCAGACCCTTCACAAGACCTGCCCCATCTGCAAGCAGCCCGCGGTCAGTACTGAGGAAGGCTCTGGCTCCAACCCAGAGAGCCACAGAGAGGTTGAGTGGGTCAGGTCCCGGCAGGCCCACCGGGCGGCAGAAGCACTGCCCCTAGTCCGTCCAGTGCCCTCCCACACGGACAGCTCCAGTCACAGGACGGAAGACTCAGAGACTGAGGAGGAGTCCCCCCTACCCTGAGAAGTGCTCCTCTCAGGCCTCCTTGCCCCAGACTTGGCTCTTCCCTTCCTCCTTCCCCACACCCCCATTTTTCTCTTTCCAGCCAGCCAGCTGCTCCCTAGAACCTGGCTGAATATCACCGTGTACTTCTGTCTTGGCTTGCCTTGGTAGACAAACCCAAATGCTGCAGTACCTGTTTGGAAACGCAAAACTTTGTAGGCCAGAGACAATAAAATGCATTTGGAATCACGCAGGTTCTCTGGATGTCTAGCTGAAGCCCTGCCTGGGCAGGTTTTCTTTGACCTTATCTTCCCCCGTGGTTTTTGTTGAACCTCTAGCTGCCCAAGCAGGAGAACCCAAGCTGATACTCTCGTAGCATTATAGAATCCGGCAATGGAAGTGGCTTCCCAACCCAACCCAACCTTTTCATTTTACAAATGGGGAAACTGAGGCCCAGAGCCAGGGAGTGACTCAGCTCTGCTCACCCACCACACTACACACTGTACAATGAACTCCCTCCAAAGGTATGGGATAGGTCTCCTGGAAATACCACTAGACATAAGAGTGATGGCTGGAAAGTGCAAAGGTGTGTATGGGGGGGTGAGGGTCAAACCAGGCTTGATGTCAGGAGAAGCTTCCTCCAAATAAGATGGGTTCCTTTTGGGGGGAAGTCTGGATAACCACTTGTCAGGTATGCGAAAATAGGGTTTGTTTTCATTGTATATGTTAGACTATTCGGCCAATGAAATCCCTTCCAACCCTTAAATTCTGTGACTCTGGGATCCAGGGAGCTGGCCTTTTCAGGTGACTCAAGGAGGGCATCAAGCAGGGCCTTCTGTCAAGGACTTCCTTATTCACAGTGGGCTCGGTGGATGAGTCGAGGAGGGGTTTGTGGGTCATGGAATGCAGATCTGGAAGGGAAGGGACAGATCAGACCCAACATTTGAACCCCTTTTTCTGACACCAAATGCAGCATTCTGTGATGCCATATTCCAAGGGTCGTTCCTCTTTTGTGGAATGAGGCTCAGGTGCACTCCATAATCTAAGGTCCCTCTGAATT